GAATGGGGAATACAACGTTTTGAAAAGACCTGAAGGAAATAGAAACATTTTGTGCAGCATCCAAAAGGAATACAGCACTTGATGATATTATACTGTCTATCCAACTGACAATCATCACATACCCACTAAGTGACTTCTGACAAAGTTCCAGTTGTTCCAGGAGATGCGGTAACAGCTGTCCTAGAGTCTCATCTCCCACACAGCACTGTACCACATTGGCATTCTCATGGGCACGAGTCATGATCTTCACCCACTGTTTGTCAATGTTCTGAAACCTCTTTGCTTCCTAAATGAATATCAATGTAAATAAGAATCTAAGTGAAGATGAAGATCAAGTAGAAAGGCTACAAGAGAAGAGTAAGCTCCTACTAGGCTGTTAGGATATCAAGGTACAATCCTGGCCAAGAGTCCTTGGGACACTGCTTTCAATTTACCTTTCGGACATGCCGATGGGCATTTCATTGTTATTGAAATTGTTACACGTTAAAATGATATTTCCTGCTTTTCTCCACCCTCCTTCCTTCCTTCCTCCTTCCCCCTCTCCCAACTCCCAAGCAATTATGTTGGAATCTAGAAGCAAGCATTCTCGCTACACGGACTGAACGTTGTACGGGGGGGAGGGGAGGGTTGGAGGAGGGAATCGTGGGATTTCTCTATCCAATGCAATAGTGAACAAGTAAATAAAGAAGTGGCCCAAAGACTTTTGGACAGAATTGTAAGTAACTAAGAAGTAAGGAAGCTACATGGATAGGTAGTAAGGCCAGGGGGAAGGCAGGCAGAAAAGAAGAGTAGTCAAGGAGCGTTTGTGGACAAGTAAGAAAGATGGTAGGTATTACATTTAGGCAGTTAAGTAGCTAGGCAGACTAGGTGAAGGCTAGGTGAGTGTGAGGGAGGGTTGGAACATGGATGGGTTGGTAAGTAGACATGTTGGTTGGTAGTCGTATAGATAGGGAGTCAGGTGAGGGAAAAGGTACTGAAGCACAGCTATGTTAGTGGATACATAGGAATAGTAGGCAGGTAGGCAGATAGGTGGATGAGTCAGTCGGTGGTTAAGCGTTTGTAAAGCTAGCAAGAGGCCAAGTGTATCACTGGGGGAGTAAGGCAGCTGCAAGGTTTAGAGTTCAGGTCCGGTATCTTTTGTTTCCAGTGTATACGTATTAATGAAAGTTGTGACCAACCTTTGGTAACTGTTTTGCGATATCTCCCCCAACGAACACAGCTTCAAGGTAAATCCACAAGTTTTGCACCGTTAACCAGTTCTCGATAATGTCCGTTGTGTTCGAAAGCTTTTGAACCCAGCTCTGAATGTTCTTCTTGAAAGGAGCATTATACCTGGTGAGAAAATCGACATCAAAAGGTTAACCAATCTCAAACATATATCTCAGTCAACACACTATGCGATACAGTAGAATGCCAAACTAATGCGACCCTAAGGTCCAATTTATAAGTCGCATTTCAGTCACATTTTAGTCTCGTCGAATGTAATTCACGTCCCAGAAGACTCGTTGAAATTGCTTTAAATCAGCGCAATGCTCACACAGATAGCAAAGTAGAACATGTTGCTCCCATAATATTACTGAAACAAGAACAGACGTTGACCAAGTTAGGTTGGGCCAACAGACTGGCTCAGTGTCTCAAATCCTCGAGTTTAATTGTTCCCTCCTGATGCTGTAGTTATTATTATTGTTGCAACAGTCTTGTCCATAATTTAGGTATATTAATTGTATTTTGTATTTATAGTTTTAGGATCGAGGGCCACTAACTCCTCAGTTGATATACTGTTATGTATCACCCTCATCAAATAAAGTTGATTGATTGATTGATTGATGGATGGATGGATGGATTGATTGATTGATTGATTGATTGATTGATTGATTGATTGATTGATTGATTGATTGATTGATTGATTGATTGATTGATTGATTGATTGATATATGTAGGTTTACCTGTTACTCATTAACGAGCCCAACACCATTAAACTGTCCTCCATCAACGCCACAATCTCAGACGTGTTATCACCTCGCAACAGCAGCTCTCCGCGATTCTTGAAGTTCGCGAAAGTAAGTTCTCTTGTGCTCCAGTCGGCAACAACTGACTTCAGTTTAGCTTCAATGTCTTTTTCTTTGACTGCGGAAATGCATATGTCCTGCAGAGAAAAACAAATCAGTATTTGTCTTCTCTATCACGTCAGTGTCCAGTGAATGGCATAATGGAGTGTTGACTATAGTTTTGGACATGTACCGTAAAGACCTGGCCCCAGTTGTTCAAAGGATGGATAACGCTATCCACCGGATAAATCACTATCCAGTGGATAAGTGTGAACAAAACAAACTACGCTATCCGTTGGATAGTGATTTATCCGATGGATAGCGTTATCCATCTTTTTGAACAACCGGGCCCAGCCCGTTCAAAGGGTGGATAACGCTATCCACTGGATAAATCGCTATCCACTGGATAAGCGTTAACAAAACAAACTACAGTCGAAGCTCTCTGAGCGGACACTCTCGTAAACGGCCAGCTATCCCTTATACTGCTAGTGGCCGCTTACGAGACTCATTCCCAGAAAACGGCCAGCTCCAATTGCGGATACTTTTTCTGCTTCCCGAGGGTGTCCGCTTACGAGAGCTTTGACTGTACTCTATCCACTGGATAGCGATTTATCCAGTAGATAGCGTTAACCACCCTTTAAAGAACCGGGCCCTGGCTTATAAGCCCTGAGCTTATACAACTTCATGGGGTGGGGCTTATAAGCGCTATGAAGAAAAAACGTTTCGGAATGAGGGTTCCAATTTTAAAATGTTGATGACAACAAACAAATAAGCTAACTAACAAAACCGTCCCATACCTCGATGTCCTCTTTGTGTTTCAACAGTGGTGCCTCCATGATGTTTCTGAGTGAGAACGTTTCTGACTCCATGTCAAAAGTGTGTCCTGTTAGCGCAGCTATACGATCCCAATGCCTCTGTTTCATAGCTTTGTTCGCCATCAGCTCCAGTAGCGGGCAGCTTTCATTGAAGTCATCAATGGTTTGCTTTAAATCCAGGAAGGCCTGCCAGTCTTTTAAGGCTCGGGGGAGCTTACGGCATCTGTAGGCAAGTAAAATACAGATTAGCCATGTAATAGCAAGGTCTGCCAGTCAAGAGTTCAAGTGTAAAATAGGAAAAAGTCGATCATTTATTTTAATAATAAAAGACATGTTTAGGTAGGTTACACTGAAAATTACCTTCAAATCAGTGAAAACCTCACAATAATAGTTTACCAAGGTAGAAAAAACACGAAATAGGTAAAGATTGGAGAAGATTGAGACAGATTACGAAAAATGAACTTGAAAAATTAAATTATTTCAAGATGTGCCATCTGTGACGTAGAACGTAATGTAGGTAAACGATAATGTAAAGGCCAAGTTGTCCATAAAAATGCTGAGAGACAAGTTTGACCAATGCATGAATTGAAGCGTGTTACAAAGTTGCTGAAAGACATTATAACATATTATATTGTAAGCATTCCACGCAGGTTTGAACCTTTTCACTCCCAGAGTCAAACCTTGAGTAAATAAACGTGGTTGTACCTTTTGAGTCTGTAGTTAAAACCCTAGTGTGTAACCATTCAAATGAAAGCTATTCAGCAGTACTTTCTTGTGGTACGGTTTATTATGCTGTACAAGGTGATTCTAACTTTTACGTTTGTGTTAGCCTGCGTAGCAAGCGTTCCTGTACGAACGAAAAGCTTTTTCCGCGATCGAAGAACTTTTTCTGCATTTTGGCCGCGCGAAAATTGGGGCGAGAGCAAAAAAGATGGAGGGGGGTAGGGGGTAGGGAAGGGGTTGGCGCTGGTACCCTCAGCGCCAACCCCCACCCCCTCCCCCACCCACCCGCTCCCCCACCCACCCGAGCGACTTTTTTGCTCTCGCCCCAATTTTCGCGAAAAAGCTCTTCGTTCGTACAGGAACGCTTGCTACGCAGGCTACGTTTGTGTATGAAACCCTAGTGTGTAACCATTCAAATGAAAGCTATTGACCGGTACTTTCATGTGGTACTAACTGTTAGTTGTTGTTGTTTGTTTGTTTGTGACAATTTTGCAAAATGACATTCAAGACTTATTCCTCAATTTTGAATTTAGCACTCTTGGGAGTGGAAGTGTTAAACTGAAAAACTGACTAGCTGCCAATGCGGTCAAATGCTATGATTCTAGCAAGGTGATCTTCACAGTGTTCCAGATAAGAAGGAGGTCTCACCCAACAAATTGGTGAGGTCCATAACTATTGGTTGCAATTCCTCATTGACACCTTGCCTTTATGAAACTTATCGGGAACCCTGCCTTAGTTTGTATTCTCACCGTGTCTGAAAGTCTTGTAGTTCCACGTTAATCTTTTCAATATTAACATCAACCCACAGGATGTCGTAATAGCCATTCACAGTATCGATGACGTCATTGTACAGACCGTAGAGCTTCTGCAAGAGGTTGAGTTCTCGGCGGATCTGCATCAGGTCTGGATATTCGGTCACAGGGAGCCCAAACAGCTCTTCGCCTCCGGAATATGTGATGTACTTGCGCCACAGAGCGTCAAAACGGTTCTGAACGGAACAAGACAAGCAAAATATTTATTAGTACTTCTCTTGTGGTAGGTAGAACCTAACCTAACGAAACTTTGTACGATTACCACACAAGAAGTGGTCTTTCAGGTGCTGGCATTGATTTTCCACTCAGCTTAATATAAATTTGTGGCGGCCATTTTGGAGAAAGGTCTATTGAACTCACCTGGAAAATGATTAGTCTGTCACTAGCTTCGCGTGGAGGGACGTTGGCAACCATTGGGCCACTCTGATAACAAGAGAACAGAATACAGTTAGTAACAGACAGAACAGCGCCCATGTACAGGTATGATTATATTTCAAAAGACATGGAAACCACCTCTTCTCACATTAGAATGAGGACACAACAAGGTTATTCCTGAGAAAGACTTTAATCAGTCAGTGACACAAGCTATTCGGAATAAAAATTTCTCCCAACAGGAGTCGAACCAGTACCTATGACCTTCCGCACAGCGTTTGGACGCTCTACCACTGAGCTACAGTAGACTTGTGGGAGCTTCAAATGTGACAAACTTCCTGCATATTGCCAGGATTAGTTTTGTCGATATGTGAGATACATGTGGAAAGAAATAATGGTGAATTTTTAGCTTGGTAGAAATATGAGAAAGATGTTCATCAGTAAGTGACACAGTCAAGCTACGTACTCGGAAATTCTTTGCAAGTGGCTTGTGAACGTTTTCGTGATTTTAGAACGAACAACATACATCTTCAACTCAACTAATATCAAAGAAAATGTCGCATTCAGTTTACAGTTTACTGATATGAAGAAGCTTACAATAGGTGACATATAAATACTTATAAATATGTGACGATTACAAGAACGGAGAAGCCTTTACAGTGCGATTACTATAACCATGGGAGCACTTGGACAACAAAAACTAAACCACCTTGCAGAATGGAAACAAAAATTCCAACTTCAGTTGTTTGAGTCAATCAGTTAATATTTAGTACAATACAACGTTTCATCAACTATGTGACTGGTTTTGATTGTCTAAGTGCCCCGGTTACAGTAGTCGCACTGTATAGTAACATACCATGTGGTAATCCGACGAGAAAGACGACACATCGACGATGAAAACCTGGACTTTGTCAATAAGATCTCCCTTAAAGTTAGGCTGAACTTGAATAAGATGTCCTTGAGACTCCGTCTAGAAAAAATAAGAACATAAAAATCAAACAACTGCTTTGAATGTCGAGCCCGGGGGGGTGGGGGTAGGGGGTTACTCCTCGAAATTTGTGGTGGGGTTGTACTGCCCGCTTCTTTAAACCCTTCCCCACTTATAATTCAGACCAATTTTCCCATTTCAAGTCAAAATGGCAAACATCTAGTATACCCTATTTCAGACAAGCAAGCAAAACATACCGAATTTGAGACCAAAATGTTCAAAATCTATACCCGTTTTCAGACCAAAACGGCTCAAAAACCACACCCTTTGGGGCGGCACATACCTATATATAGCTTATATAGGGGAATACCCCCCCCCCCCCCCCCTTCCCACCGAATGTCGACTGAGTCACCTATTAGATTGCATTAGCCTGGAAACTGGACTTTGTGTCGTTTTTTAGGGCAATATGAATGTTATTACCTAAGCATAACAAATACAACAAAATCTCGTCACAGTATTTACCGCAAGAGATTGAAGTTTCTGCCAAGAATAGCGAAGAGTGTCCACTCTCTCTGACTCCTCTTTGGCGACGAGTAGCTCGTAACGATTCAGCATCGCGTATGATTCCTGTAAAACAAAACGAGCGCGCAACAATTGAGTACACCAATTGAAAACTTGTCTTTCTGTCAGTCCGTCTTGCAGCTCTGTGTTGCGAACTCCCAAGCTTCGATCAAGTAATATATCAAACACGACAGACAGTATTTCATCGGGATATCCAAACACAGAGAAGAGAGTTCAAAATACGATGCATAACATAGTATTTTTGACGAAATTTGAGGTGTTTGGATAGCCGATGAAACACTGTCTCGAGTGTTTGATATATCTTCTCAATCGAAACCAAACTAAGGAGTAAACGGAGAAATAAAATCGCATAAAAAAACTATGCTGATTAAGACTGGGTATCAGACTGGGTATGTATCAAAACCTCCGGCACGGTTATGATTTCCTACATGTATGTTTTAACTTTTGAGAAGTGCATTCGCCATAGCACGAGGGACATCTGGGCACTTACCTCGATGGGCCCAATACACATGTCAACCATGATCTCCCTGTCTCGGATCTCTTTCAGGGAGCCCATAGCATGCCGTATGTCATCAAGGTCCTTGAGGGGTCGGCTGAGGCGCTTCGTGATGTCTTCAAGAAACGTGAATATTTCTTCCATTTCCGTTCGATACCTGATGTTGCAGTTTTGACCAAACGCCACACACCAAGCTCTTGTTTCCGCGCACAACGCTGTTTTCAGGCGTTCTGTGAAGGAAAAATATAACAAACAATTGAGTAAATAAAGCAGTTGTTTTGCAAACAAATAATTGAGAAAATGAAGTCTGGAGTTATTTCAAATGGACACAGGATTTACACAGGGAGCCGAAGCAGTGGAGTCAAATTTGACCTTTTTGCGCATTATTCAATCTGCATATGTTTCCAACATAAAGGAACGCAATGCGAAATACCGATACCCGATTTTGTGTGCAAGAAACAAGTGAATAAAAATGTTCTTAGACAAGTCTCAGTCTAGCTATAAAAAGGTTCTTATAAAAAATTAAAAAAAAAGAGTGTATTTGTACATTTTCCTAAACTATTTGAACATTCTGTGAAACTGTTTTAACGCTTTAGGAAGTCATTTACTATCCGTCCGTTTTTTACGTACGTGTTACTGTATAAGAACCCGTTTTAAGTCATGGCCCAAAGAGCCTTTTGCCCTCGTCTTCATTCGCATCACTAGCCTGAGATCAGGCTCCAAAATCGGCGAGCGAAGTGAGCCGAGCGCGGCCTGGGGCGGCAGCGGAGGGAGAAATTAGATGTTGATCACAAAATACCTGTACACAGTGCTATGGCTCCAGCTTTGTAAGTCTCCGGTTCCCGCATGATAGTCTCCTCCAGCGCCTTGTACCTCAAAATCTGAGCCTCAAACTCGGATAGCTTAGGATCAGTCTCCAGAAACTTAGCAATCTCTTCTTCACGGTCTTCCTTCCAGATGGGCTCGTACTTGGTGAAAAACTGCAAGGCGGTCAAAACATCTTTCTTCTGAGAGTTAATCGCCGTGGACAGGAACGACACCAGTTTAGCGATTTCTTTATTCTCGGCGACATTTTTGAAGTAGTTCGCTCTCTGTGGGAAAATTGCCATGCTGACGACTGTACCGGCGTCACTATCCGCAGGCATTCTTGTAACTCGTCGGGACGGTGCGATGTCAGATCGGCTCTCGTCGTCGCTTCCCGCGTTGCTAGCCGAGCGACTCCGAGCCTCGTTATCAGAATCGTCTTTATCTTTCTTCTCCACTTTAATGAGCGCTTTGCAAGTCTTGTTCCACTGCGAGATGCCTTTGGACACAGATACAACGTACTGTGCCGCTTTATTTAGTCCTTGTTGAATCTCGTCCAAAGCGGGCTGCATGGTGATGTTAGGAATCTGCAACGTTACATTCGCCGAGAACAGCGGCGAAAGATCAGGACCAGAATCCTTTCCTTGTCCCAAGGAGCTACTGTTCTCCAGATAGTGAAGCGCTATTGCTGCCTGTACACGTTTGCGCATCCCATCTAGCGTGGTTCTCGTCACGCGCACGATGGCATCCACGTTCTTATGAATAAAATGCATCAACAACTCCTGAGCTTCCATATTAAGTTGATCACGTATCTCGTGCTTGCGCTTCGCTGCAGCAGCCGCTGGACTAATGACGGCGCTTCCCAATCGGCTGCTGGCGGAGCGACTGTCTGGACGACTACCACCTGTGCGGGGACGACTGTGTGCACTCTCCCCTCTAGTGACGATTTTTTCTGGTGCTCCGTCATCCTTGTCGTTTGGTAAGTCCTCTAATTCGTCTTGATCTTTGTCGCTATCAAGCTCGTCTGCTTCTTCTTCCTCGAGTTCAAGTAACATAGTGATGAGTTCGTTAGCAGCTTCTTCCACGCGTGCGCTCTTTGATTCCAGTAATTCAGAACCTCGCTTGCAAAGCTCCTGTGAACCGTAATGCAATGGAAAATGATTAATTAACACTGACACGAACGAAAAAGGGGGGCCAAACTGGCCACATATGATTGCCGGAGCTTATCCCAGTTTCTGTAACATGACGTCGACTAGGAGTATTCCTACTCCCTCTGGGTGGGATGCTAGTCCCAGCATTACCCCCAGCATTTTGTTAAGTTGCCCGAACAGTTCGCCGGTACCCATGCATTTATACTCCTGGGTGGAGAGAGGCACTGCGAGAGAGTCTTTCCCAAAAACACATGGTATGAGATTCAGAAAATGAAAGAAATGCATGGTCTCTTTGAGAGGGTCTTAAGGACAAGGGGTTACTTTCAACTTTCCTTAACTATTTACGTAGGAGTCTAACGGTTCGGTAGAGCATTGGATTTCATATCGAGAGATCGGGTTCGAGCCCTGCCGATGTTCAGTGTTCTTTTCCAAGACAATCTCAGGTATGATCCCAGCTATACAACATGAAAGGGTTCCCGGCAGATTGTCAATGGCAACCTGACAAATTGGACTGTAAGCAGGGGCAGCGAAGAGGAAATCTGTGATAAACTTGATGCAAATCCAGTGATGAGCTTACCTCTGTATTTTTAAGAAACATTTCAATCGTCCATGGAGCATCACTCGGCAACTCGCAAAGCGGCGTATTGCTCATCTCTTGTAGAACTGCTTCAATCCTGAACTTGACCAGATCATTCGCTCGGTCGATCAGCAGCTCCAGCTCCATCAGGGCTTCATACACGCTGTCCATGTACGCGTCAAGGCTGAGGGATGTCCAGTTTAGCATGGTGAGACCTGGGTCGATTGCTGCTTCCACTTTGGCTAGATGCGGTGACATGAGAGGTTTAAATGCCTGAGGTATCCTGCCCAGTACGCGCACGCTCTCTGCTAACAGCAGCTAAAGAGAGGAGAAAGGTAAATTGGTGTTACCAATAATATTTTCCACGGAATACATTTTTGAATACAATAGCTAACTGCATGGTCACTCAAATAAAGTAAATTACATGACTGTAAGTTAAGATGTCAGAATATTTCGCTCGTTTCCTCATATTTGAGCTAAGCCGCTGGACTATTATAGGTCGTCATTGCGAGTTGTCTCAAGGAGACATGCCTTGGTTTATTTGAAGACTGCCAGCATGAAAAACAAAATAGTAAACAATGTGAATTGTTTCTTTTATGATAAAGATTTAACTCTTCGGCTATTTTTCTTTATTATGTGCCTCATTTTATATTGCAAAATAATCACCTTGCCATACGACTGCAAATGCTAACATATGTGTACGTTACGAGAAAAATTTGTATATTAATTTGTTTTTAGTAACAAAGCGATAAGAGACTGTTGAACTGTGT